CAGACCCACTGAACTGAAACCAGTGGCATGTACAAGACAATCAGAACTCAGTTTTGAGCCCAGTGTGGTGATTTCTGGGTTAATGTGAATTTCAGGAGTTACAATAAGGGCATGCTGACACATGCCAAAGTCAGTGACACACAAAGCACAGACATAACATGAAAGGGTATAGAGAATCCCAATCTTCGGTTCTTATTTAAGTCAACAAATTGTCCTATTTAAGTTTACTGGCCATGAGTTGCCAAATTGGATATTGGGAAAACAAAGTCATGTTAATATTTACTGGTTTAGGCTATTACTTATTCCTTAAGATACCTATTTAACTTTTTCTAACTTAAGACTCATGTTATGAAGTCACAAAATAGTGACAAATTGTTCCCTTAAAGTTTAGGTTCCCACACAAATCAAAGAGAGCTTCACATGAATATATGAGGATTTATTTCTTGATGAAGAATAGTTGTTGATCAGTGAGCAATACTAAGGATCCATGAGGTCTGCACATTTACATATGCATTTCATTAAAAAAAATCATCCTGAAAATATAAGCATTTGATTAATGCAACAAGCATTAGAATGCAACAAGCTTCAGGAAAAATAACTATTCTGGCAATGATTCATATGTATCTCAAAAAGGTACACATTTTGATACATTTACATGTACCAAAATGATATTGTTAGTCACTTTATATGTTTAAAAGTGAACATATAATCTTGTAAATAGTATAAGTAATGAGTTAAAAATGAGTGACTAGCAATTTTATGTTCAGAGCATTCCCATTGTGATGTCACATGCAGCTAATAAAGAATCCTCTGTTTAAATAGTTACAATATCTTAAAAAAAGGCTTCCAGGTTTATTTGTCACCATGATCATAAAATTACTTGGCTATTTATGAATACTACTGGAGTTTGCAGACTGACTTCCAGGAAATTGATGAAATGAAACCCCTAATTTTATCAAGCATCATTAGTGTTCAGGGGACTCCTTAAAGGGCTCTCAGTCTCAGTGGAGGACTCTTGAAATCAGTTTCCTCTACAACCAGCTGTTCTTTTTATAATCATAGAAATGGAAAGAATATATTTTTAAAATTGTTGGTGTTTCTGTAAAACGTTTTCAAAATTATATTTTGCAAAAAAATCTTAATTCAAATTTGGAACAAAATGGTTTGTTCACTTGTGGAAGAGAAAAGCATTACTTTCTATGGGGTTTTGGGTTTGGGAGTGCTTGTTTAAAAGCAAGAAGTAGCAAGCAGGGAAAAGTGAGGCTTGCAGAAACCATTTGCCTTTCTTTTTCCTTCTGTATCTTACACCTCTGCAGCCTCAGTCTGACACAACTCTTCAACTACAGGCAGCATGATCAATGTCGCAATTATTTTAGTCTATAGACATCTACAAAAAGGTGACCAAATTAATGTGTAGGTTTTCCATTGATTTAATGTTTGCAAAACCCTTTTTTAAAAACAGGATTTCTATGCTGACTGAAAAAAAGTCACAGCAATGTACGTTGGCAAGGCCATCATATATAAAAGTCAAATACTTTGAAGTATTTCTTGACCCCCAGCTGTAAAGGTGCCAGTAGAAGGGAAATGAGTACCTGCTTTTCATGTGCGATCTCTAGTTGACAACCTATTTTTTAATCTCATTTTAAATCCAAATTCCAAAGTGGTGGAGATTCATATTAGCTGTTTTACTAAGTAGCATGCATTGGATCCACTGCTTAAATAGACAAGAAGCAAATAAATTATTCACATCTGAACAGAGAAATTTTCTATTTCCTTCTCTTTTAAGAAATACCTTCTGCTAGCTAACAGAGCAAAATTAACATAGATAAATCATATCCCATGTGAATATGAGGGATATACAAAGAGGTAAACCTGAAATATTTCTTAAAACCCCAAATGAAACCTTTTGGTTCATATTTTTTAAATTATTTTCCTCTAATACAATCTAGGTCAGCTTGTAAACAGGAAATACTGAATGAAAAATAAATGTTTCTGCATTTCTAATGAGAAATATGTTAATACATTCAAAGGAACATATTGAAGATATTTGAGAAGTTGCCTTTTTTAACAATAACTCCTTGATGAATTCAGCTCAAAGTCACATAGCTTTGATCTTCTGAAATTTATCTTTTTTCACAAATTAACCATTGATAATTAAAAAGAGAAAAAAACCCTTCTCAGCTCTGGAAAAATCATCTGTCTGCATCACATACAGTTAATTGACAGACTATATTATTTGAAAACCTCATTTTAGAAGCTTCTTTGTCTTTCCTTCAGTATTGTAGTTTTTGTCTAATAATAGCAGTAGTTACCTTCTCCATCATAGCCATTTATTGTTTGGGAAATAAAAAATAAATTGTATGAATAGTATTCATAGATGGAAATGACATTGTGACAGGTCATCAGTAGATCTGAAAGGAAAGCAGGTTCTTGATAAGCTGTTGTAATAATTCATTTTTCCTTGGAGGAATGAGTATTACAATGTGGAGTGTTACAATAACTTTATAGTAGAGATTAAAGCTTTCAGAAATATGACAAGAAATATTATAAACCAGCTGCATATCAAACCTAATTTATTTCAAAACATTAAGGATATAATCTCTTTGTGTGTATAGACTTTGCATTTCCAGTAGCATCCTGCAGATTGTGCAGCTAATTTTTCAGATGTAGATCATCCCAGGAATAATGTTAAGAAAAGTAAGTTAGTAATTGTAAAACAGATTTAGTCATTCACTTTTACTTGTTGATGGGTGGCTGATAATCAGCCATTCATTAACATTTCTGCTGTCATATGTTTCAGGAGACAGAAGAAAGTTTATTCTTCAAACAAAATCATAGTTTCTTGAAACATATTCCTAAATAGATTTTTATTGTCCACCTGTTGAAAAATTTCAGTCAGGTCTGAGAGTGGTTTTGATGTTAGGAAACCAGAAATATTTGTGGCTTTGCTAATACCTATAAATTGAATGCAATAAATGTAGTTAAGAGCACTTTTGTCTTCATGATTATGAAATGACAGCTGAGAGCACTAAGAAATATTAATATTCCTGGAAAGAAGGTTATGAATCACAAAAAATATGCTGCTGAAAAATATGGATGGCAATATACAATCATTTAGTATTTATACAGAACAGTTTCATTTTAAATTCAAGGTAAAACCTTTTTAAGGCAACAGCACTTTCAGAAACCTGATTTCTAAATTTTATAGTTTATATTGTTTCTAAAAGGTTGGAAGCTCTTTTTCTGCTATCTTATAGCCATCAGAAGTTCACAAACCACCACCTGAAAAACACTGATGTACATGATTAAATAATTCATGATACTTAGATTCTTCCTGGTACAAAGAACTGCAAAACCTTCTATTAACTTCTCCCTACAGAGTGTCAAAAAAAAGAACAAAAAAAAACCCCATGACTTAGCACTAACAGAAATACAGGTATTTTTCTACTGCTCCTATCCATATGTATCCCATGTATGCTTTTCTTATATAAGTAGCTGTTTTCCTCTATCTGGACACCTGCTTTTAATAGTTCCATTTGTGTTACCAAATAATTGCTTTCCTTTTTTGTTCTCTTGGACTGTTTAGGTACAGATACATTTTCTTTCCTTCCACTCCTAAGTTTCCACAAACAGAAATATTTTACAGACACCATCTCAGTGACTTAGTGTCTGTGCAAATGTAGCATTTTGGTTTCAAAATTATAATCCATCACTATTCTGTACATTTAAAATATTCAGTAGTTGAATACACTAAAATTCTCTTGTTCTATTGCTTGACAGATTTTTCATTTGGCTTTTCTGTAGCAAATTCTTTGTCAGTCTGCTCTTTCCTTTATATATCTAGTACCTAATTATGTTTTTGGACGGATGTGACCTAACATTCAAAGTACAATTTGTTGAAGAGGAAAATACAGGATTTGCTTCAAGCTACTCATTCTAGATATTTCTGTTATTAATACATTTCATCTTACAAAAAGGCTTTGTTCAGGTAAAGTGGAACTGTGTTCTGTCATTGAATTTTTTGGATATAAATGGAGTAAATGATTTGTCTCCCTCTTAATGGGCCTATACAGTAAGTCTACAGCTGAACACAACTGGAATCCAAATTTTTGTTCTTAGTTCAGTATGGTTTTCATCCAGTCATCTTTCCTAGTCAGTCTGTGAGCTAGATTTCTATGAAATCTTTGCATTAGTACTTCCCTTTTAAGAGAAAGCAGCACAGTATTGTGGGATCCTATGTTTAAGAAAGTATTATAGTTCGCATTAAAGGTGATTCAGGATCTCAGGTACACAGTAGAGAAAAATGGAAAGAGTGACAGTAGAAGAACAGTAGTTGCTCTGAGGACAGATAACAAGACCCAATGATATGTGTCATAACCCTATTATAGCAGGGTTAAAGAGCAGAACAAGTATTTTGGAGAATAGAAAAAGCATGCAAAACCCCCATGATAATAGAGACATAACAGATTCCCTTTTCTTCTCTTCTTCATACATAATGCTGATACACCTACTCCAAAATATGAATGAGCCGGTAAAGGCAGAGTAATTCTAATCAGTTTTACATCATTACTTAAAACATTTAAGTTTTTTTTTTTCTTGTTATTTAGTTGACATTTCTTACCAGACACTAAGCAAACTTTAGTTATTAACCTGTCTCTACAGAAACACTCACGGAAACATGTGGATTCTTAAGTACCTATATTTTAGTATTCGTATAATTAAGTAAATTAGGTGCTAATGCTGGAAAGCATCCTAAGCAGATGAGCTTATATCAGCGTATGCCTAAACGTTGTCTCAAATAAGAATAGATTTAAACAGGTACTTAAGTTTTTCTTTCTATAGATCATAAAGTGTAGTACAAGAATCACACACATAACTCATTTTTACTTCTTTACCTCTCAAAATGCATTCATTTCTACATGCAGTGTGGGTTTTGGGGCTGGGTGTGTTTTGGTGCCTTGATTTGGGGTATTTTTTTAGTGATTGCTTTTGTGTTTCAGACTTGAATCTCCTACTAGATCTTTGGTGATGGAAGCACCCAGGGGAGTGCAAGTCAATGCAGCTGCAGGAGACTTAAAGGCTACCTGTAGGAAAGAACTTCACTTACAGTCTACAGAAGGGGAGGTAAGTTCTGCCAGTGTACTATAGCTCTGCCAGGCGTAATGCAAAAAAATGTGAGGACAATTTATTCAGTAGCAAGGTAAACATCACAAGAAGAGTTCTGCATTTGCCTATGTTAAAGTAATATTGGTATAGCTTACTCAATTATTAATTCTCATTTGCTTTTTGCAAATATTTGAATTCCTAAGTTTTATTCACACTGAAAATGTTAGATGGTGGTAAAAAATTATTATGAATCTAACAAACTGAGAGACTTTTGGACTAATTTGGGTGAATACTTCATTAAACCATGAAGAACAGGTTTAATGAATTAAGGCCCAGTTAGAATTCAACTTGGCTAGGGGTGTGAAAGATAAAAGAAAGGGATTCTATAAGTCCATTGCAAAAAAAAGACAGACTAGGAACAATGTGGGCCCTCTCCGGAAGCTGTCAGGAGAACTGGCTACCCTGGATTTGGAGAAGGCTGAGGTTCATAACAACTTCTTTACCTCAGTCTTTACTAGCAAATGCTCTGACCACACCACCCAAGTCCTGCAAGGCAGATGCAGGGACTGTGAGAATGAAGACCCTAAGCCCACTGTAGGAGGGGATCTGGTTCGAGAACATCTTAAAAACTTGAATGTGCACAAGTCCATGGGACCTGATGAAATCCATCCACGGGTCCTGAAGGAGCTGACGAATTAAGCTGCTAAGCCAATGTCCATCATATTTGAAAAATCGTGGCAGTCAGGTGAAGTTCCCGATGACTGGTAAAGGGTAATATAAACCCATTTTCAAAAAGGGGAAAGTGATGATCCAGGAAATTACAGACCAGTCAATCTCACCTCTGTGCCTGGCAAAATCTCGGGGCAGATTCTCCTGGAAGGCATGCTAAGGCACATGAAAAACAACAAGGTGCTTGATGACAGCCAGCATGGCTTCACTAGGGGGAAATCCTGCCTGACCAGTCTGGTGGCCTTTTATGATGGGGCTACAGAACTAATGGACAGGGGTAGAGCAGTTGATGTCATCTACCTGGAGTTGTGCAAAGCGTTCGACACTGTCCCACACGACATCCTTGTCCCTAAATTGGGGAGACATCAATTTGATGGATAGACCACTCGGTGGATAAAGAACTGGCTGGATGGCCGCACACAGAGTTGTGGTCAATGGCTCAATGTCCGGTGGAGACCAGTAACGAGTGGTGTCCCTCAGGGATCAGTGCTGTGACCAGTCTTGTTCAACATCTTTGTCACTGACATGGACAGTGGGATTGAGTGCACCCTCAGCAAGTTTGCCGATGACACCAGCTGTGTGGTTCGGTTGTTACGCTGGAGGGAAGGAATGCCATCCAGAGGGACCTTGACACGCTTGTAAAGTGGGCTGATGCCAACCTTATGAAGTTTAACCATGCCAAGTGCAAGGTCCTACACCTGGGTCAGAGCAATCCCAGGCACAGCTATAGGTTGGGCAGAGAAGAGATTGAGAGCAGCCTTCAGGGAAGGACTTGGGGGTGTTGGTCAATGAGAAACCTAACATAAGCCAGCTTCTGTGTGTGCTCAGAGCCAACCGTATCCTGGGCTGTATCAAAAGGAACGTGACCAGCAGGTTGAAGGAAGTGGTCCTGCCCCTCTACTCTGCTCTCAGGAGACCTCACTTGGAGTACTGTGTGCAGTTCTGGTGTCCTCAACATAAAGAGGACATGGAACTGTTGGAACAAGTCCAGAGGAGGGCCACAAGGATGAGCAGGGGACTGGAGCAACTGCTGCATGAACACATGCTGAGAAAATTGGGGCTGTTCAGCCTGGAGAAGGCTGCAGGGAGACCTCTTAGCAGCCTTCCAGTATCTGAAGGGGGCCTATAGGGATGCTGGGGAGGGCCTCTTCATTAGGGACTGTAGTGACAGGACAAGCGGTAACAGGTTAAAATTTAAACAGGGGAAGTTTAGATTGGATATAAGGAAGAAATTCTTTACTGTAAGGGTGGTTAGGCACTGGAGTAGGTTGCCCAAGGTAGCTGTAAATGCTCCATCCCTGGCAGTGTTCAGGGCCAGGTTGGACAGAGCCTTGGGTGGTATGGTTTAGTGTGAGGTGTCCCTGCCCATGGCAGGGGGGTTGGAACTAGACGATCTTAAGGTCCTTTCCAACCCTAACTATTCTATGATTTGCTCTACATGTATTCTGTTTCCTGAATCTGTTACCATCTCTTTAAGAGAAACAGAGTTCTTCAATGATATGTTCTCTGTACTGTTTTATCAGTGTCTTGTGTTAGTGGTCAGCTTGATATCAAAATATTTTGTATAGATTCTTCATGTGTGCACCCGTGTGAACTCATTCAAATAATTTTAAATTGGGTCACTGGTTTGGTTGGCAGTTCATGTGTTGCAAAAACACATGAAAGATTTCTGATATGAGAGTCTTTCTGTTTTCAGTCCTTAAAATGACATAACATGAAAAAAAAAAAATCATGCAAAGGTATCAAAGGCTCTCAGATTTCTATTAGACTCTTTGGAGAAATGGGTATATTTTCAAACTGTTGTAGGATTTGCCAGTTTACAGCATTTTTGGAAAAATTATTTTTATTTTAAATATCTAATTGGGAATGGAGCTCTTCAGAAATCTTTTGTCTTTTTGTTTGTAATTTTTATTTTCTACGAAATGCTCCCAGTTACTTTACAAACTATTCAAATAAGGAACAGCAAACAAAACCTTCACAGACATCTTCATCAGATAATCCCCTGCAATACACACTCTTTGCATTGCAATGCAAATGGGAACATTTTTGGCCAATACACTGCATCAAAGGCCTATTTTGATAACATTTTTCTGTTGGTGCAAGTATGAATCTTGCATAATTAAAGCAGAATATTTTCCTAATTCAGAGCCTCTAATATTTATATACCACATGCCCCATCTTGTTTCTGAGTTTCTCCAAAAGACAGCAGCTCTTCTCACAATCTCTCCTGTTTAATTACCACCTCTCTAAATATGAAGCCTTTGTTCCTGTTGCCTAAAGTTGTCAAGGTAACAATAAGTACAATCTAATCCTCTTTGAATAGTAAATATTATCCTCCCTCACCCTTGTTCTTTCTGTGGGCATATTTATTGCAGGGACTACAGCTTGTTGTAACCTTTCCTACTTCACATCCATGAATTCCCATCTGGCCCTATCTAGTATGTTTCCTGCATTTATTAACATAAATTTTCCACCTGCTATATATTTTTTTATTCTTTCCCTTCATGATATTACTAGAGTCAAGTAATATTCAGATGAAAAAAAAAAAGAAGAAAACCAAACCAAGAGGAAGACTGTTACGTTTTCTCAATGCCCTCCCTAAAGCAACAGTGCACCTATGTCTTGGTTTAGTATCATGCATCTCTGTGGTGCTTTGTACAAATATTTAATCTGCAGATTCATTGGGCTTTTTTTGTCTATATCAACACTGTGAGTTTATTCATGACTTCTAATTTTTCTTAAGTACTTACTACAACTTACTTAAAAGATAGTTTTGGAAATAATATGCTATGACCTCAGTTGAACTTTGAGAATGGGAGCCCAAGAGAAGTTATAATGACTACATATGTATTATTCAGAATTGAAAATCAGTTCAGTATTAAATGCTTTGTCGGGAAAAAAAGTCAGTGTGAAGCAGACTTTCCTGAACTTCATATTAAAAATCACTATATTCCCATATGCGGCAAGTAAGACTTTGCACATATGTGATTTCGCACTTTATATGTTAGATTGGTAGGTATCAGAAAACAAGCTACTAACCTTTCCCCACTCTTTCCCAAAGAGCTGTTCTGTAAACATATATTCAACAATGTTCAAAGTGTCTAATTTACTCTTGAATACTTGCAGTTCCAGGAAGATCTGTAAAGAAATGTACTCTAAATTCACTGAAAAATTCCATCCTGAGACTAGACCACTATTTTATTTCTTACACTGAAGAGAGTCAGAGGAAAATGCAGAAACCCTGTGGAAGGCATACGATGAGGTTCCACAATTATCACAGGTAGTGCAAAGCTACTGTAGCTGCATTAGGGACCTCCTGGACTAATTACAGCCTGGTATGAGTAATGGGGGTAAACATCTGATGGATTAAATGTCTACATAACAAAATACCGATGGGTGTCCTTGCTTACAGTGCTAAAGATACACCACAAATTAGCAGACAGTGTAGAAAAAAGTGTAAAGTGTTTATCATTTTTAAGAAAGCACCTTCCAAACCAAAACAAAGTATCTAGGTAAAAAGTAATCCTCATTTGGACCTAAAAATGTATGGTTTATCAGTCAGGTTTCTTGCAAGAATAAAGAATATTGGTTTTGTGAATTGAATCTATGAGCCATTTTTGTGATAGCTTTTTTTTGTACTAGAAAAATACAGGGTTTTTTATATTATTCTCACACTGGTTGTAGTTAACTAAATTTAACTTTTCAATGTTTTTAATTTTATTAAAAAAAAAATTACTATTTTCCCTCTATAGCATAATTATTGATCCATTGTGACAGGAAATGGCTATGTAGCATTTGCAATCAGCTATAACCATGTAGCAGAACATTATGAATTTACTGTGCATTAATATATGAAACATAAATTTTCCTTCTATTTAAGAATAACTTCAGAATACAAAGAAAATAAACGTGTTTATGAAATATTTTTCCTCTAGCCTCATTTCTCATGCAGTATAATCTCTAGCCTCCCACATCATAAACGAAATGCTTCTGCAAGCATTCTGAATTCTGCTGTTTGATACATTTTATTTACTGCAGTATTATAATAATCCTTTTACCCCTATTACACATTATAATGTGTGATCCCAGACTGAATACTGGGGGCTGTAATTTAGACTTAGATTCTGATGCCCTTTATAAAGCTCTTGAACTGTACCCTTGTGAGTCGAAGCATCAGCAGAATCCTTTGATTCAATTATAGCTTGGCATTTAATTGTGAACTATGTATTATTCTATAAATAAACCATAACCAATGGTTTAAAGCAGCAATCATTTACAAAGAAAATGAA